CAGACATTGCAGATCGGGTGAATGTGGCTTCCTGTATATGTGTGTGTGTGTGTGTGTGTGTTTATTTTGTTTACTCCTAAAACAAGAAAAACAAACTGCGGTGAATCTCTGGGTTCACTTAACACTAATCTCAACACGCAAACATCTCCACTGGTGTATGAACACTGTTACTTAATATGTCTCGAACAGAAAATAAAAAGTGAGTGTGTGTGTGGGAACTAGAGAGCGGAAAGAAACTGTGCTAGGGGGAAGAAAAAGGCAGTTGCACATGTAAGGCCAGGCCATTGATAGAAGGTAGCTAGCGGTTGCTGAGGGTAAACTAACTAACTGGCTGCTGAGGTTCTAGAAAGGGTATAACAGAGGCTGGCTGGCCATGGATACCTGAACTAGGAGTCAGAGATTAGAGGTCACTAGTGGGTGTAGCATAATGTGTACTGTAGTCCATACTGAACAGTCTGTCACTGCATATGTGAAAATCTCCCTGAATTTTTTGAATGGCAGGCCGTGCAACTGCAACAACTTAATAGGAATTGAAAGATGCTAAAATGACTAGGCTGGTATGTTAACGGCTGGCTGAGTTCTTTCAAGGGTGTGTGTGTGGAAGCAGCTCTTTATTTTGGTTCTAACATTGAGGGAGAAGGTTTTTATTGCAGAGCTTCTAGAAGGAATGATTTACATGTTATAGCCAGCCAGAGAGAGCGATGAGAGGAAAGGCTTTTAACTAGTTTGCTCTCTAGAGACACAGCTTCACCCCCCATCTGTGGCTGGCCATCAAAGGGAGGTATGAGAGGAGGAAAACTCTAATGGGTTCTACTGTATGCTTGTTGTCTGTCTATTGCTATTGGAAAGCAGCCCACACACAACTGCCATGATGCTATGCATTTGCACTAGAAAACGTTACCTGAAAGGGTTTGATTGGTGACATTGTTTTGCTCTATTTTCCCATAATGAGAGTTTAGGAGGGGTAAGTCAGTCAGAACAATACTTAACTCAACCAGGGTCTCATTTTGGTTCAATGTGTATGAATGCAAAACCATAGACAGATTCCGTATCTTAATTTGAGCCAGTTTCACACAGCTGGAAAATAATCTTGCAGCAACATCCTGCAGCAAATGTGAATATTTATGTGGATTATAATTAATATAAAAAAAAATTTTTTTTTATAGGGGTTGATACATTTTTCATTAGGGCAAATCAAGTCTGACATTTTAAAGTGGAAATTACAAACGTAAGAAGCATTTTTAAACCTTGAATACACTACAAGTTTGAATTTCTTGCTGTGCAGGGAAACTCCTGCAACAACAGGATGATCAAATGAAGATACGGCATCTATACCTAATGGTTAAAATACTAATACTAATACTAATACTAATACTATTTTACCCAGTTTGGTGAAGCTCTAGAAGGAACAGTCATTACTATACCCATCCTGCCCTACAAAAAGACACAAAGATTCTCACACACACACACACACACACACACACACACACACATATACACACAGACATGGACATTTTCATAAACTACCTGTAGAAGACATAATAAAACAATGTTATAAAAGAAAAAATGAAAATGCACTGCCGTGGCGTTGATCTGAGAAACCCTGTTTTATTATATAAAATAAAGCATTTTCAAACCTATACGGGGTGTATACTCACTCACCACCACCACCATCCATCTGTCTTTATCCATCCATCCATCCATCCAAGTCACACATCCATCCGTCCATCACCACGCCGATCACCCGCATCCATCCTCCTATTTCGCCACGCTCCACGTAGGAGTTGTTCTTAACCTCAGATCTAGGATCAGATTAGCCTACACCAGAGGAGACTGGTGGGAGGAGGTATAAGAGGACGGGCTCATTGGAATGGCTGGAATTAAATATATGGAACAGTATCAAAAGCATCAAACATATGGAAACCACATGTTTGACTCCGTTCCAAACTTCCATTCCAGCCATTACAATGAGCCTGTCCTCCTATAGCTCCTCCCACCAGCCTCCTCTGGCCTCCACCCACTCCTAACACTAACCATTAGGCGGATGAACTAAACATCTGAACCTAGATCAGTGGTTAGAAGCAACTTCTACATACTTCTCGTTCTCCGCCACATCTTCTACCACCTAAACACACCTGAAAATCAGAGAGCTCAACAGGTGTACCTGCTGGTGGCCCCGCCCCCGGCTCCACAATGACTCTCAACCAAACCCCCAACAAGTGGGCGGGACTTGGACATGCCACAGGTGTGAGTGACAGTGTGGTGGTCCAATGAGGAGCAGAGCCGAGAGCATTGGAGACAATCAGCATGGAGCACACTTGTTAAATAACTGCTACAATTCAGTAAAATGGGGTTTCAGCTCTGTGTGTGTGTGTGTGTGTGTGCAAAATGGCTGAAAACATAGTTGTGTCTGTAATGGCATCCTATTCCCTATATAGTGCACTACTTTTGGCCAGTGCACTGTATAGAGAATAGGGTGCTATTTTGAACACAGTCAAAAAGTAATGTCACCCAACTGACTACCTCTCCAGATGTGCAAATTGCAAGATTCTCTTAAGTAAAACTCCAAAAACAGAAACACTGGAAATTTAACATTGGATATATCATATTAAGTTATATGATATTTCTATACACATATACAAACACATACACACACACACACGCACACCAACAAACACACACTGCACAGAGCACTGAGACTATCATCTTCGTCTGCAACTCAAATATCTTGGCTTCATCAAGGGGAAATATCTATGCCACACAAGTATTTGTATACATATTAAATGTATATCAACAAGTATGAAATACATACAATCCTCTCCTTTAGGAGAGTGCCTGTCTGTGTGTGTACTGTATTCCGTGTGTGTGTGAGTTTGTGTGCACTTACACATTCCTGCATTCATGCATTATGCATACATATATGATGTATATGACACCCTTCAGAAATTCTGTGGCCAGAGCGTCGATAACTGTCTCAGTGTCGTCCACAACATAGCTGGACATTCCCACACCTATTCCCATGCTCTACCCAATCTTCTTTTTCATATCCTTGACAAGGCAGTTATGTGTCGAAAAGTAAATTTTTTGACCAAACGCATATTTTGAAAAGCATGTTTTGATTTGAGTAAAGTGCCTCAACAAAAAGCACTCTTCTGATATTATATCTTCTTCTATATTCCTCTTCTCTCTTTCTTTCCTCTCCTAACTGGCACTCACTCCATCACCTGTCACATTCATCCCTTTCAAAGGTCATGTGACCCCGTGACCCCAAGACATCATCATGACCCCTTCATCGTTCAAAAGTGCTGCTGCCACAGAGTTCTACTTCTTCCTCAAGTCAAAATAACAAAAACATACAGTACTGTGTTAATGAAGAGACCAATAATAATAATAATAATAATAATAATAATAATAACAATAATAATAATAGTTGTGTTATCATCAGTTGGTGAGTGTGACAGGTGTGCAAATGAAAGTGCTGCAACACAACATCCTTTCCCTCTCGTCTCTAAAGACTCAACACTGACTTTCTGACAGAGTCCCAAATTGCCCCCTATTCCCTACATAGTGCACTACTTTTGACCAGGGCCAATAGAGATAGGGCCTTGGTCAAAAGTAGCACACTATATTGAAATAGGGTGCCATTTGGGATGAAACCTCTTTCTTTCTGCCTCTCTCTCCATAAGAATACAAATAAAAAGGTTGCACCAAGTAATAAGGATTATGTATAATCATCTTCCTATTTTCATAGTTCATGTCAACCCAGTGTGATTGCAAAAGTATGCATTGTTAGGGTATAAAGGAATAACATAGATATTTAACTTAACCACCCTGGTTCAAACTATACGTCCATACAGTATGTGACCCCTGATCTCAAAGCTTTAGACAATCATCAAATATATCATTATCAACTCACTGGGCAAGATAGGAGAGGTTCAAAGGTGAAAAGGGAAAAATTGACAAGCAAAACTAAATAAAAAAGTTCAAATAAAAATGTTTCAGAAACAAAAATAATAACATAAAGACTTCAGTGTCACCAAAACATAACAAAGGAAGGAAGAGTTCCCTCTTTCTGGAGGCACACTGGCGCCGCCCGATGACCTCACCTGGCTGGACTGGCGCCGCCCGATGACCTCACCTGGCTGGACTGGCCTGCTGGATGACATCACCTAGCTAAGTGGTCTAGATGGATGAGTGTCGAGGCATCCGGTGACCCCTTGTTTAGGACTAGATGTGTAGTTCTAACCTTATGTCAGAGACAAATAAAATATGTTATTACAAATCCTCTTCTAGTCATGAGAGTTTAAAATGGTTACAGACCCTTTTTGAACTGTGTCTTATCTAAAGACATCTTGAGTCGCTCGGGATAGATGACATCATATCAACTCAGTCTGCCACCAAGGCAACAGGTGGCGTGGAGAGTGATTCAGTCCAGACATCCTGAACACTCTCGTCAGTAGTGCCTTTACCAGGAAGTGACATCACAAAGGAAGTGACATCACTCACGGATCTACATTACACCCGTTTAGTCATGTCCCCAGGCCCTATTGGAAAGCTAACTACATGTTTTATTAATTTAATGTATTTGTCCACCTGCAGCCATCAAATGACCAGAGAGGTATCACGCAGTGCTTTTGTGTGCCACAAACCCACAAATAAAACATTTACAATACTTCACAAATCCCCTTGCCCAGAGATTTGTGGAACCAACCCAAAACAATTGCACCGGTTGCTTGTTTACGTAATACCAAACGGATCTATTACAATGTTATTACCAACTTAACTTAATATAAGGTGATAACATGTAAGTACTGGGTAAAATTTTGCCTACAGTACATTCATCCAGGTAGAAAATAAAAACAAGAAAGAAAATCTACAACAAAGTAGCTAAAATTAAACTTTTATGTGGGCATTCTTTCTTTCTTTTTTTCATTCTTTTTTAAATCTCTCCATCCAATCCCCATTTGAATTAACAGTCTTGTTTTAATCTCCTGCCTTCACTACTTGCCTATATTTGACCTGCCTTCGATGCTGATCTTTACCTCCTGAGTGATAAAGGAAGGTTTGGGCAGAGTCAACGGGGGCTCCTTCTCGCTCCTCTCCACCTTACGGCCCTCGGGGGCCGACCATCTCCTCTTGCGGCTCACCGGCTTGGCGGCACCACCGCTGGATTCTGAATCTCCAGGCTGGCCTCCTTTCGAGTTGGCTTCTCCCCCGGCGCCGAACCTCAGTTCCCCATTCTCTGAGGCGATCTGAACACCTCCACCTGCTCCAACCACCACACTCCCACATCCACTCCTGGAGCCTCTCTGGCCCACCCCGTTCTCCTGCTCCCCGTGCCTGGCTGACCTGGAGGATTTGAGGGGCCCGTGGATGGAGCCCATATTGCAGCTGGTAGTGATCTCAATAGCCTGGTTCTGGGTCTGCTGCGTCTTCTTCAGGGAGCCGTTCCTCAAGTTCTTCAGGGTGAGGGAGATGCAGACGTCCCCCACTGTTAGCTTGGTGCAGGGTAGTTCTAACAGCTGAGTGGTCCGGTCCGGGCAGCACGATGACCAGCCCTGGCCGAATACGAAGAAGGGATACTCCAGCAGCACCTCCACACTCACCTGGCGGAGAGAGGGGAAGAGAGAATGAGAGATTGAGAGGAGACGAGGGAGAGATGGAGAGAGAGAGAACAGACAGGAGAAAAACAAGCTAAACATCAGACATCATATACTGTAAATCAACTCAGAGAAGAAACCACCTCAAAGAAAAAATGAGAAGAGAGAACAGAGATAAGAATGGAAGTATTTGATACAGTAATGCTCTGAGGCTGACCATGTTTCAGACAGAGAATGGAGGGAGATAGTTAGAAGCTGGTTTGAGGGGTTGGCCAAACCGGAGAACAGACAGATGAAAAAGATGATGAGCTTTTAACACAGACCCCCTGAGAGAGAGAGAGGGAGAAAAAGAGAGAAAGAGAAAGAAAAGAGGGGAGGGAGAACGAGAGAGAAAGGGGGAGTGAGAGAGAGAGAGAAAGAGAGAGAGAGAGAGAGAAAGGGCGAGAGAAACTGGAATACAAGAAAATCTGAAAAAAATGATTAATGACAATCCCACGTGGTCATATATACAGCTAGCTGAGTAGCTATGTGGTTTGAGCAAGCTTTGTTGTTGCATGTAACATGGAGATATGGATGGAGATAGGTGTCCTATGTAATAGTAGAGAGAGAAGTATTTAGAAGTATTCTTAGAACTCTGAAACGTTTGAGGCATGTAGGATCCTCATAGGTGGCAAACAAGAGGGAAACTGACTATAGAACACCATAATAGTCTATGGAGTAAACGTGATGTAAATACATTGATTGCCAAGTGTTCTTGATGTAAAATTTCATGTCATTCTAAGCATGGACATTAAGGACCTTGTCTGTCCCTTACCTGTGATTAGCAATGTTATCAATGTTACTATTGTTGAGCATGATTAGTGTTTATTTGGACAATTTTTAGCCTTCATTAAGTAAAAAAAAAGTATGTATTCTCCTACCTGAGCGCGGTGCTCGCCCACGGAGAACTGTACGATGGCGAAGTTGGGCGTGTGGCTGCCGTCGATGCGTTCCACGGTCGAAGAGTCTATCTTCAGCTCGCTGCTGATCTCAGCGCTCTGGATGAAGTCCTCCGTCTTCAGGTCCTCCACGCGCTTCAACTCCCCGTCCGCCAGCTGGATGATGGAGCCCTTGATGAAGTAGGGAGGCAGCGAGGGGGCTGAGGAGGGGGCCGGGGGGGCTGGGACCACGGGGAGGTGTAGCTGGGCCTGGACTACAGTGCCCCCGGCAGGGTGGGAGAGAGGGGGATAGGGCGCCGGGACCTCGAATAGATGCTCATCTTTAGGGTTGGGGTTACGTTTAGGGTTGGTAGTGGTGGTGACGTAAGCGTGGGGTAGTGTGGTGGGGAAGGGCTGTGGTTGGGTTGTGGTGGCTATGTGGGCAGCATGGGCAGCCTCCAGGCTGGTGACCCCGGCCCCACTGACGGGGATGATGATAGGTTGAGACCCTGGGGCCCTTGGGATAAGCAGGTGCTGGGGCAGACTGGTGTGGTACTGCTGCCCCCCTGCACTCCCAGCCAGGTAGCCGATGATGGGCTGCCCGCCGGGGCCAGACTGGTAGAAGTTGGTGGAGAGTTGGCCCAGGGAGAGGGGCGACGCATCGCTGGCGCTGTGTGTGGTCTGGATGACCGTGTGGGTGTGAGGGGACAGGGAGCTGACAGCCGCCTTCAGACTTTCCACACTGAGCGGAGGGGGGAAGGTGAACGTGGAGGAGGTGGAGGAGGAGGGGGTGCAGGACACAGGTTTACCCAAGAGGAGGCTGCCTTTCTCTGCATGCGAGGCAGAGGAGGGCGGTAGTTTGTTGGGGCTGTGGTGGTCTGGTCCTCCGTGGCTGTTGGGCACTAGCATTAGAGAGGTCCGTAGCCCTGATGCATCATGGGAGGTGTAGGCCTCATAGTGATGCTGTGAGCTCTGCTGCTGGTGGAGTTGGTGGTACTGAGAGGAAGAGGAGGAGGAAGAAGAGGAGGGGGTTCCTTTGCTTTCCTTTCTCTCATAGCGGCCCCTCTTCTCCAGCTCTCCGTTGTGCAGCTCCCTGGGCCGGCCCTCTTCTCTCTTAGTCAGGTGCCCCTCGGGGCCGGGGCCCGCGTACTGGACCAGCACCTGGGAGCCCCCGCTGAGGGCCAGGGTGTGTTGGGGGTGGGGATGCAGGTGCAGGGGCAGGTGGTGGGTCCCACTGTGGGGCGAGGGGGCAGTCTGGGGGGCCACGCTCAGAGAGGAACTAGAGATCTGGGACTGGGAGGTAATGGTGGTGTTGGGGTAGGGGTCAGGGTGGGAGCGTTGGGATGTGGAGGTGGGTGGCGGGGGAGGGAGGAGCTGGGAGGAGATGTAGCCAGCGTAGGGGCCTGTGTAAGGGGAACTGATGAACTGGAGGTTGGGGGGCAGCTGGGTGTAGTGGATGGCCCCTCCTGGTTGGGACAGAGGAGAGGTGTACATGGCAGGGAGGGATGTGGTCACCACTCTGGGCTGATGTGATGAAGAGGAGGAGATGGAGCAGATAGAGGAAGGGACCAGGAAGTCTGTGTGTGTGGTGATGGTGGAGCATAGCGGTTTGTACTGTGGCCCGTCAGACTCACTGGGAGTGCTGGTACGCTGCCCACCTCTACCGCCATCTACGCCATCTCCGCCACCTCCGCCACTGTCTCTATCGTGCCCGCTGCTGTGCCCGCTGGCTACGCTGGCCAGCCATGCCAGGTTTTCTCCGCGCTGGCTCTCACTGGTGGGCGCCATCACAAGGGGCCTCTCGTCCACAGTGCTTGCTGGGAAATCTCTCTTCTTGGGGGGCAGACACTCGTTGCTGCGCTCCTGGTTGGACTTCATACTGTTATCTTTTCTCTCTCAACTTCCTGTTACATACACTCGCCTTGGCTCGTCTCTCTCACACAATCACTTTAGAACTCTATCTTTGTCTCTCCCTCGTTCACTCTCTATTTCACTCCTGTCTTTGGCTGTCTCCCTCACTCTCTCTCTGTCTCTTGGCTTGACCTGGTTTTCCTCGTTGACAGAGTAGGCCCTCCTGCTGGTTGTGTGGGTGGCTGGGGCCAGGGGACTGGTAGGTTGGAGGGGGTAAGTTAGAGGGGGTAGGGGGTAAGTTAGAGGGGGTAGGGTGGAGGAGGTAGAGAGGGACGGAGGGGTCTGTCCTGTCCTGTAGCTCAGCGTCTGTCGGACGCCTGGTTCTGGCTCAGCAAGAAGCAGAGAGGGGCACACCTGCTGTTGCCGTGGGAGCAGCGAGAGTCACACCTGCCGTTTCCGTGGAGAGAGGAAGAGAGCCGTCCGTCAGCTTCATGCGGAATCATTTCCCTCTGAGAGCTAGCCTCCTGGATGGCAGTGGGAACCTGGGGAACAAAGTGAACAAACATTAGGTTCACACACACACACACACATATTAGAAACTGAACACACACATTAGAAACTAAACACACACACGCGCATACACACACACACAAACACAATAGAATGGCCTTCCACACTGGAAAATAATACTAACCACACTAGAAGAGGATACTAACCACGCTGGAAGAGGATACTAACCACACTGGAAGAGAATACTAACCACACTAGAAGAGGATACTAACCACACTAGAAGAGGATACTAACCACACTAGAAGAGGATACTAACCACACTAGAAGAGGATACTAACCACACTAGAAGAGGATACTAACCACACTAGAAGATAATACTAACCACACTGGAAGAGAATACTAACCACATTAGAAGAGGATACTAACCACACTAGAAGAGGATACTAACCACACTAGAAGAGGATACTAACCACACTAGAAGATAATACTAACCACACCAGAAGAGGATACTAACCACACTGGAAGAGGATACTAACCACACTAGAAGAGGATACTAACCACACTAGAAGATAATACTAACCACACCAGAAGAGGATACTAACCACACTAGAAGAGGATACTAACCACACCAGAAGAGGATACTAACCACACTAGAAGAGGATACTAACCACACTAGAAGAGGATACTAACCACACTAGAAGAGGATACTAACCACACTAGAAGATAATACTAACCACACCAGAAGAGGATACTAACCACACTGGAAGAGGATACTAACCACACTAGAAGAGGATACTAACCACACTGGAAGAGGATACTAACCACACTGGAAGATAATACTAACCACACTAGAAGAGGATACTAACCACACTAGAAGAGGATACTAACCACACTAGAAGATAATACTAACCACACTAGAAGTGGATACTAACCACACTAGAAGATAATATTAACCACACTGGAAGAGGATACTAACCACACTAGAAGAGGATACTAACCACACTAGAAGAGGATACTAACCACACTAGAAAATAATACTAACCACACTAGAAGAGGATACTAACCACACTGGAAGAGGATACTAACCACACTAGAAGATAATAGTAACCACACTGGAAGAGGATACTAACCACACTAGAAGATAATACTAACCACACTAGAAGAGGATACTAACCACACTAGAAGATAATACTAACCACACTAGAAGAGGATACTAACCACACTGGAAGAGGATACTAACCACACTAGAAGAGGATACTAACCCCACTAGAAGAGGATACTAACCACACTAGAAGAGGATACTAACCACACTAGAAGAGGATACTAACCACACTGGAAGAGAATACTAACCACACTGGAATATAATACTAACCACACTGGAAGAGGATACTAACCACACTGGAAGAGGATACTAACCACACTGGAAGAGGATACTAACCACACTGGAAGATAATACTAACCACACTGGAAGAGAATACTAACCACACTGGAAGGTAATACTAACCACACTAGAAGATAATACTAACCACACTGGAAGAGGATACTAACCACACTAGAAGAGGATACTAACCACACTGGAAGAGGATACTAACCACACTGGAAGATAATACGAACCACACTGGAAGAGGATACTAACCACACTGGAAGATAATACTAACCACACTAGAAGAGGATACTAACCACACTAGAAGATAATACTAACCACACTGGAAGAGGATACAAACCACACTGGAAGAGGATACTAACCACACTAGAAGATAATACTAACCACACTGGAAGATAATACTAACCACACTGGAAGAGAATACTAACCACACTGGAAGATAATACTAACCACACTGGAATAGGATACTAACCATACTGGAAGAGGATACTAACCACACTGGAAGATAATACTAACCACACTGGAAGAGAATACTAACCACACTGGAAGGTAATACTAACCACACTAGAAGATAATACTAACCACACTGGAAGAGGATACTAACCACACTAGAAGAGGATACTAACCACACTA